CAATAATTTCCTTGGCTTCCCTCTGGAAAGCAACAGAAGCCAGTTTCATTTATTTCTAATTATTTTTTTGCAACTGAATACTGAAATGTTTTAATTATGAGGATTACCTAGTAAATCAGTGAAGTGGTTCGATGGTAGTTTTAGTACTGGAATACCCCACACATGCCCAGTGCAGCTATCACAGTCCTTTCAGTCCTGAGCTACATACCTTCAGTTAGTATCTCAATCATCTCTTCGATTTATGTCATTTGGGTGACCTTTTTGGTTGTTTAAATAGCTTTTTTTTAAATAAAAGCACTATTTTCAGGAAAGTTCACCATCGTCACATTCCGAGCGAAAACGTCCATCTGAGGCATGTAACGGGATGGCTGAGGAAACTGATGAGGGTGATGAGGCGAGGGGCTCAAAAACCAGGCGGACAGAGTGATTCGAATTATTTAGTATTCAAAATGTAAATAGTTCTCATTCCATGTACTTAATCCCAGCCATCCCGGTGATCCCGAGGCAAATTGCTTAGGGTTCTTTTTGTCTTCGTTGGAATTCGGATGGGCTCTCCTCATGAATTATTTGAATTTTTTTAATGCACGAGTTGGGCCATTTTCAATAATTGTTTGTATTCCCTTTTTATTTCTCTTATATTTGCATTGTTTAATGCATTTTATGCGTTTTATGGATTTTTTTTTTCCAAAGATAACCTATTTTTTTGTACTTCTTTTGTATGAGATCGCAATATTTCCAAAAGTCTAGGGCTCAGCCAGCAGCACAGAAACTTTAAGCCGAGGTGTTCAGCACTTTTTATTTTAAGTGGTTTTTTTTTGTAGATACATAATTTTCAAGATTACCCATCCCCTGCTTCCTGGATTTTTTTTATTCCGAAATATTATTGCTTGGATTAATTTATCGTTTTTCCTCCTCGCTCTTTTGTTTTTTTTTTATCTCTGGTCCTTGGATCTGTGCTTCTCTTTCTCTGTCTTCAGGTCTTTGGTTTTGTGCTTCACGCCATCTTCAGTTCCCTGGATTTGTCTTTTTCTTCCGGTTCTTGGATTTGTGCTTCTCTGTCTTCAGGTCCATGAACTTGTGCTTCATTACTCAAATGCGTTTTTTTTTTTCACTCAAATGTGTTTTTAAATCAAATGTCTATGCTTCTAAAAGAACAAAAAATGTGATGGAACGCCACGATTTCTTGCCGCACTAGAATTTTTTTATCTGTTAAATTATCGGTACTCAAGTAAGTACGGCAGAAAGGTCTGAGTTTAAAGAGGTAAGTGAAAGGGAGGGGAGGAATGTGACCGGTAATAGTGTAAAAAATTTATTATTTTGTATCATTATTATTATCGCTATTATATTCTTTATTATTATCATTTCTGTTTCATCCTTATTTCCAGTTTTATTTATAATGGCCTAGAAGCTGAAATTTGCGAGATTACGATGAAATTGTGATTGTGGACTGGAGATTTTTTCTTGCATGCCGTTCATTACGAATAGGAAAAATTAGGATTTTTACGGATATTGTGCTCTTTTTTTCCTGATGATTTTACGCATTCTTTCATTGTTTTTGTTCATCTG